AGAAGATATAATTAAGAAAAATCAGATGAGTCTTCTTATAAATTAATAATAAACATTTTCAGAGTTTTCACATAAGAATTTTTTTCTTTAAAAAAATATTTCAATGTCAGGAAACAGAATTCATGAAAACTAAATGGAAGGAAGGAAGCAAATTCACCTAACATACCCACCGGGAAATTCTTTTGGAATTTACTCTATTGTGGGTTACCAGGCCCCCAAATGCCCTTCTCCTCAAGGGAAAATAATGTTTTCTGACCTTGCACAATATCTGCTGTAATAGTAGTTTGCTGGGAAAAGTTAATAGGATTTCAGGAGAAAATCTTATCTTTTCATACAGACCCCTGCATTTTAGAGCCCAGGAGTTGCTGGAAAACAAATACTCAGAAAATCTAAGTGATTAAAGTCTTTGGGCTCAGATTAAATTTTATGAGTATTTATGTAGCGGTTCAGTCACTGGCTTTGGAGTCAAGTGGCCTGGGGCCGAGCCTAGCTCATGCACCTGGCAAACTTCTTCGCTTCTCAAGGCTGCTTCTGCATATGTGAAATGAGAATAACAACTCCTACCTTTACAGTTATGAGGCTTAAAAATGCAGTGATGCACGTGAAGTCCAGAACATAGTACCTGGCACACGGAGAACAAGTGCTGAGCAATCCAGCCCGGTACCAGTCTCCATTGCTGTATAATAGCTGACATGATGTGAAGATGATCTTCTTTTAGCAATATGATTTCAGTAACAAAGCAACCTTACCAGTTAACCGCCGGCTTATGGCTGCCCAACCAAGGTGTAGAGAATTCTTCATTACTGGACCAAGCACGGACTTTGGAATCAACTTTTTAACTATTCCAATTACATGCTAACTACTTTAAAAAAAAAACTGTATATAATCTATCTTCTTTTTCATTATTTTATGCATAAAGTGAAGATAATATTACTTACTTAAAAGATTATGAAGTTTAAGAAGAATAGACCAAATGTCTAAGCTGAAGCCTGGCACTTAGTAAGTACTTAATTATAGTCACTAAACATATTTATACAATATATATGCAAACTGCACACTCAAACATATAAATAAAATGTGTGTTTGGGAAGGAGTTAGTACACTTACCTTTCCCTCTTCAGTTCGGATAATCCAGAAGCAGTTAACATTTTGAAGATAAACAACATCAGAGATTATGTAACTGATGCTTCCGTTCATCTCTGAGAGGGACCCTCCACACACTGCAAAGGAAACCATGATGAACCATGCTTTTCAGAGACCCATTAATGGAAGAAGTTAGGCAAACTAATCTCAATCTCTCACTTCTCCTCTTGCTCATCCGCTTTTCTAGTGATAGTGCATCAAATCCCACCTCAAAGTCTAGTTAATATCTCATCCATTGGCTGTTATTTTCTTTGGTTTCCATTCTCCACGACTCTAGGAAACTTAACTCCAAATGGTTTACTGCTTAACTTTAGTTCTTGCATCCTACTTGCTTTTCTGTGTTAATCTTTTCTCCTCAAGTAAGGGTAAGAAGATAATAAATGGAGACCAGGTGGCATGTTTTTATATTGTTCACATGGTTTATCATGGGTTTATTTTAAACACACAGTAATATTTTAAGAAATGTATAGATTTTGAATCAGGAATAATAAGTGAGGGGTGGGATTGAATGTTAAGTACTCCTAAGGAACAGGCACATCTGGATGGAAAATTAGGAAGGAATTTGGGTAGGGTTGTGGGAAGAAACATCACAAATAAGAGAGAAGAAATACGATGGTACAAAGGATCAAGTGGCCAAAGAAAAACATCTGGCTTGAATGAGCATGTCTAGGGAACTAGTGAGAGATCAGGTTACGTGGATAGAGTGGTGGGTATGTAACAGGCAGTAATGAACCAGTGCATATTCCGGGGCAAGAGTGCCGTGATTACACGTGGTATTCTAGGGAACTTGGCCACTACACAGAAAATGTTCCCTTAGAAATACCTTAGCATAGTTTAGATTTTAAAAGGACACAATCAAAGAAGATACTGATTTAATCTGCTTGAAGAAAAATTCTTCTGGCTTGAGATTTGTAAATATCTATTTTATGCATCCTGCACCCGTCCAACAGTGAGCTCTGAAAGAAAGTAAGCTCAGTAAGGCAACCTGCAGAAGGCTTCACTGAAGAGTGACAGTTCTAAACTGTGGGCATCTGTGGAAATGCTGACTGTACCTTGCTGGGGAGTCTGACAGTGAGATCCAGTCCACGAACTTGTGCATTCGCAACTGAAAGCATTAATTCCATCAACACAAGTCCCCCCATTCAGACAGGGATTGCTCAAGCACTCATTGATGTTTTCTGTACAGTTGACACCAGCCCATCCTGCATCACACTGACAAAGATAGCCAGAGACCATTTCCTGGGGTGAAAACAAATGTGTAAAATGGTGAAACAAATGGCCAGACATTACTGGGATCAACCCCAGCAGGAAGTCACATTAAAGAGTTGAGTCATCCTACAGTAGTCCAACTTGTAATTTTTAAATGATAATTGTTCAGTATAAGTAGTCTTATGTGTTTGAAGATAAAATATTAGCTTATTGATTTTTTTCTTGGGAGCTAAAGCTATCATGTACCTTTTTATCTTAGAGCTGTGTATGTCTTATCTTAAGTTTGAATCATTATCTTAACACTCATGAATCATATAAAATGTATTTCATAGAAAAGTGAAACTAAGAATTACTCTAATGTATTCAGTCTCCCCAAGAAAAACAAAGGACTCACTATGCATTGTCCATGTAAGCAGGGGTGACTTAAGCAAATGTTTCCGAGTTGCACACATCCATTTGGTCCATAACCATTTCCAGTGTATCCCAGCAGACAGGTGCAGAGAGGTAAGGAACCTGTTCAGAAATGAAAATGGGAGGTGTAACTATAAGCATCCTCCTCAACTCAGAGACAGTAACTAAACTCAGGCTCTGGTCTCTTCTCTGAATAATAATTCAACATTTTTTACCCAAGATAGCCAAGAAAAAGTATGAGAAGAAAATATCAAAATCTTTTTTTCCATATTTAAAAGTAAGAAAGCCATTAAGCCTGTCTAATACTTTACCTATACATGACACTAGTGCTTCCATCTCTCATATCAGGTGGTCCTGAGCTATGTACAGGTGAAAGATACATCCAGGGAGTAAGGATGGAGCTCATGGAGGGGTTATTGGCAGATGAGCGGGTTGTCATGGCGATAGGATCTGCTGCAAGCACTGTGTAGACTATGACTGATTTACTCCTCTCTTACTCCTGTCTACACTTTTACTGATGAAGGCAGAGCACAGACAAATCGCCTTGACCAGAGTCAGCTGGAATGCGGAGGTGCCCAGAGAGCCTGTGTGGTTTTCCACAGCACGTCACTCAGGACTGAAGGTACATTCATGTGTTCTCAATGCTGAGGACACACAGTTTGGATAGTGTCAGTTTTAGTCAGATTGGCCATCACAAAATGAACTGAAGGCTTTAAAAGGTAGTGATACTGCAGATTGTAGATAACACAAGAACATAAACAAGTACAAACATCAAAAAATGTCAGCACCAAAATATCCCCATACCTTTTATGGGCCCTTCATCACCATGTTAAAAGGTAAGGCAATAGCAATCCAAGTGGGCTGGGAAAAATAATTTGAAGTAGTTGAATCTCTCTTATTCATGAATTGATAACCATTGTTGGTTTTGATGTACATGAGACAGTAGCTGGATATGGGATAAGAGGAACTGGGATCTCCAGAATTTTCTTCCATACTTAAAAAAAATCTGTATAGTATTTTACAGTTTGCAGTAAAGAAGGTCAACTTGAGAGTACATACAGGGCTATGTCATGCCATTTACAATGTCTTCTATGTGAAAAAGTTCCTTTTATTTCTAAGATGTATGCAAAGCAGCATTTTATATACTCGGGATCATTTAATCCTCTCAAGAATCCTATGAGTTAGCTGCTATTATTCATTTCACAGGTAAAGAACTGAAGCACAGAGATGAGGGGTCCTAACCAAGGACACTAAATCAGAGTGTGGAGGAGCCAAGAGAGAATGGCAGGTCTTCTCCCAAGAAATCATGCTCCTAATCATTTCAGTATACTGTTAATTATTCAGTAAGTTATTTAGTCATATGTATATGTGTATCCTATGCCCATATAGGTATATATCTACAGACTCATTTATATTTGGCTATTGTCTGCATTTATAAGACAAGTTAGAAAAAAATAAAGTATTATTTTGAAATAGCAAGAAATGAGATAAATTACTGAATAAAGGAAGTTAGTGCCATCCATTTGGACAAAATTATCAAGCTAATAGTTTGATGCCTAAAATAAACAATAAATTCTAGAAAGATTAAAAATCCTCATGGAAATAAAATATATAAATAAATATACACTTGCCTGTGTTTAAAGAGCTCAGTACAAAAGGCATCCTTAAATGTGATTCTAAAGGGAGTAATATTAAAAGTTTTTCTACTACATAAAATGGGAAACTTTAAAGATAAAAATATCACTATGAAATTAAGAGAACAGCAAAGTGTCCTGAAAAAAGTATTTGTAAAACATAAAATAGATAATGTGATAATATCTTTAGATATGATGAAATTTTATATTCCATAGGAAAGCAAATGAGCAAAGGCTATAAAGAAACAGAAAAACAGCTAGCTGGTAAAAACTTAATGAAAAATGTTAGGTTAAGATAAGGACAAACTAATTTTTGTCTATAGAATGGACTGAGATGAAATATAATCTATCATCCAAGGTAAATATGTATATATATATATATGTATATATATTCATAAACTGATGGTAAGTATACGATGAGTCAACATTTCTCAGAAAAATGTTGAGCTAAATTGTAGGAAGTCACTCCATTTTTAAGCAATGCTGTAGACATTGGATGATTCTAGATCCATTTTCCCCTTGTCTAGTAGCAACCTCCTTATTCCAGTGCATTCATGATGTCTGAAAAACAGACTATACTTTGTGCTTTTCCCTTTCCATTTGATTTGGCCAGGTGGCTCAATTCTACCCGATGGCATAGAGTTGGAAGAGTTCTCACAGTGATATAGTATTCCCTTCCTCCTCCGTTTCTCCTTCCTGTTTGGAATATATGCCAGAATTAAGTGGTTGGCATAATTACTTTAGGAAATAATTGTTAAATTAGGGCAGATTGCTAAAGAGCATAGCTTGTTGCATTAAAAAAACAAGTATATAGTTTTATAATACGAATTAATTTTTGGTTTGATGATTAAAGCAATAATTTTGAGGACAGAAGATTTCATTTGTGAAATCCTGAATTGCTTTCAAGTGTTGAAATAAAATACCTCAGGCGAAAGAGAGCGGTGAGGCGTTACCTTGAGATGAGAGGCACGTTGCGTGCGGGTGGCAGCCTCCATTGTTGATGGAGCAGATGTCTACGGCAGTGCACACTTTCCCATCACCTTCGTACCCTGGGCAGAAAAGGCAGGGGAGTGAAAAATAGTGTCGGGAATATGCGAGGAAGCCAACACCAATCTGAGAATCTGGTATCATGAGGTAGACCAACCAGAGATGCTTGTAACAAGACAACAGGTGCAAGAAAATACCATGTCATGAACAAGTAAAATTGATACTTGAAAGCAGGAGCAACAAGAGTTAGCAAGCTGACATCATAAATAATGCTCTGGCTTGTGCCTAGTAAGAAAATGTATAAACATACTGACCAAGAGGGTCGACACTAAAGTTGACATCTCTTAATTTCCATGATTCCAATATTCTTAAAGGTAAACTATTATAGAAGTCCAAGTACTATTGCTTCATGTCATTATAACTTACAAGGTTTCTGCTATCTTTTAGAACTCTCTGAATTCCTTAAATATTAATTCAATTTACCTTCTAGAATAGCAGTAATGACTTCTTTCCAAAAGAAAAAGGAAACTTGTTAGTTTGTATATATGTGCCTGTTTTTAGTAAAACTTGCATGTTAAACATGAATATACCATTTAATAGATTATATGTGGGAACAAAAGTACAGTAGACCTGATATGAACCCAGAAAACTTTCTCAATCCTACATTATCTCAGTGGCAGTTTCACGGTTTGCAATGACTTCTTTGTACTAACATTATGGTGTACTTAGTTTCTTATGCTATCACTATACTAAAGTGTCTTGAATGTTCAAGCCAACTGAAACAGTTTGTTGTAGTCAGTTTCTTTCCTTAGATAAAATTATATTTAAAATGGAATATAAGATTGTTTTCAGAGGTATGTTTTTGTGAATAATGACATCAGGAAATCTGCCAAAAATACCTGGTGGACAGTCTTCACAGGTAAAAGATCCAGGTGTGTTTATACACGTAACAAGCGGAGTCATGGAACAGCCACCATTATTTATCTCACATTCATTGATGTCTTCACAAACATACCCATTTCCTTGCCATCCTAGAAAAGCAGCAAGATTTGATAGGTCAGCTCTATAAACAAGTCAACAAAGGAAAAAAATACAAATGATCAAAACATGTAAAACACCTGCCCTAATAAAAAGCTCCAGATTAAGATAAGACACACTGACATATTGGCAAAAATTATTTTAAATTCTTAAAAATATTCTGATGCCGTAGTAGGCAATTGGGATACTTTTATATAGTTAGTAGGATGTTGTAGTAATACCACCAATTTGGAATGAGATCCAGCAGTAGTTATTAACAATTTTTAAAATATATGATTATTGATGGCCAATTTGATGTTCAAAACTTATTCTATGATGCAAAACTAAGAGCATATTAAAATGTAGATAAAAAGATGTCTACTGTGCTATGGCTTAATAGGAAAAAAATCATTAATGGCCTAAAGGGACACAGATTAATGCCTTATACTCATCTATAGCACTGAATACTAAAAATAATCTTAGTACCTCATACCCCTGCTTGTCATCCATCAGCACATGCACATCGAAAGAATTATCTCATACATATTTTAATTGAAGATAACAAATGTTTAGAATAAAATGAAGAGCTGGGGTCATGCTCCCAACTTGGAGAAAGAGTTACTTGAAAACTTCCTATGTTTCTATGTGTTTGTATGAGCAAATGAAAATGCTAATGGTGGGACTGTGATTGAGTTGGGTATCCCAATTCATAGCAAGGCTACTAAGATCTCAGAGGACACACGTAGGTGAGAACTCAACTGTAGGAGAAACACAAACTGGTCAAAGATTTATCCAAATTCTCAAGCCTCTGGTTAACATGAAAGGCAATTCTAGAGTACATAGTTCTTCACTACAATTCTAGTCAGTTGATAGCCATAGCAATACACAGTTAGGCTTTGCAAACTATATGGCTAATCCTGTCCCATACTTTGACTCCAGCAGTTTTAGACAAGTCTCCCAGTTCCACTGTGGAGCTGTTATAGCAGAAAGATGATATTGGCCAGATGTCAGGGAAATAGGACATATAACCAGGTTCAAACACCCCTGAATGTTATTCCTCTTATCTCAGTAGTAGAAGGAAATTGGTTCTGGCATCTTGCCTGCCTGGCACACACCCTGAGAATGTACCTTTTGGACAGGGCCCACAGTAGAAAGAGCCTGGAGTGTTGAAACATTGTACAAGTGCTGAACAAGAGGATGGGAGACTGCACTCATCTTGATCCACCGTGCAGGCAGGGTTGCCTGGTGAGGATGTCCACCCAGCTTCGCAGATGCAGGTGTAATTGTGCTGGTAGGGTAACAACAATGTAAATGAAGGCAATCAAGTGAAGGAGCAAGCAAAGCCTTGAAAAGGTTCACCAAGCCCTGAACTATTTATTTCCTAACATTCAGTTCCATCAGGCAAATTGAGAGGCTCTTCCCTTCTTTCTATCTCATTTAGGCTAGACAATGAAAAAAGAAAACATTTTTTTTTTGGACTAAAAGAATCCTATAATTTATCCCAAAGATACCAAGGAAAAAGCAACAGCAACAGAGAGCTGCCAGCCAATATAATTAAAGTGAATCAGCTCAGCCTGCTATGTTTTTAGAGGGGAAAACACCCACGAAGGCACCAACTTAGGAAAATCAATTGCTGGTTTCCTTCTGAAAGTCTCTCTTTCCCCTCCGACAGCCCCTCTACCCTACTGTCCACTCTACCATTAGAATGGATGATTTTCTATCTTATGAATAGAAAAAAAAATAACAAGAGAGAATTTAAAATAGAGAACTGAAGTTTTGCTGAACAGCAGAATCAGCCAGAAATGGATAACCTTGAGGGTTGAGAGGCAAGGTCCTGAGAACCCGGAGCCCAGAGGGGCACCAGGGAGTCTGCAATCACCGTGGAGTGCACAGTACTCTGGCACAGGAAACTCCAAACTCAAAATTGCAGGTTGTGGACAAGACAGAGCCTTTGATGCTTTCATGACTTGTCACTGTTGAAACTCACAAGTCCAAGAGAAGGTCATGTCTCAAAGAGAGTTCCAGTCAGGAAGAATAAAAATGGTACTATTTTATATAATGCACACTTAACCTTGGGGTTCATTCTTCTGTGTATCTCATCTTCCCTCCTTGTTTGTTCCCTGCTTAGGGCAGGAAGTGACAACACCTGTAGCTCGAGAGTTTGTACTCAGCATTGCAGGAGAGGCAGCCAACCACTGATGTGTTTGTACTCAGCATTGCAGGAGAGGCAGCCAACCACTGATGTTCCCATGAGTCACCTTAGGGAAGGAACTCACCACTCCGGTTTGCTGTCGTTCTAAATCCTCACAGATACCATGAACACAGAGTTCTTTAGAGCCACCCTCACAGTCATTGTATCTGAAACTGCAGTGGGGTCCATATGTATCAGGTTTGCAGATACAGCTGTTGGTTACAGAAGAGCAAAATATTAGAGCTCATGCTTGAAGACCAGTTTCTGTCTCTTAGTATTAACAAAAAATTCCAAATTGAGCATGTTAACAGAATCCTAAACTAGCGATGCAGATTGATTGACTGGAGCCTTGGGAGAAAAATCACTCTGTTCTACTCCCAGCACAGGATTGAATGAATGTGCTGTCTTTGCAAAGAAAGCATTAGAGAGCTATAACTTAGTATTTCATAAGACTACACTATAAATTCTTCTCATATCAAGTCATCAAACAGTACATTCAAAGGTCAGCAGTCGACAAACCATGAGTATTGGAGTTTGTTCAAGGAGAGAAAGGAAAAGATCAGCAAGTTAATTCATCATCCCTCCCATTGGATCTGCCAGTAATCACAGGTGATCTCAGCTCAATTAATCACTCTCCAATGCTCTCTAGGATGGTATAACCCCATATGCCCTGCACTGGCCACATCTCGGCATATAAGATAACTGTTATTGTTATTGCAATACAAAGGGCAAAGCATCCTCCATCTATAAGAGATGTATGTAGTTAACATAGCAACATTTCTTTCACAGTCACATTTTTAACCCACAAAAATATAATTAGTATTTGATAACTAAGATACCAGTGGGTGTTTTATTACTAGAAGATTTCAGAGCAACAATAACCAAATAAGGAAGGCTGCTTCAAGCCTTTGCAATTCTTTAAGTTACCAGATTAGCTTTGTAGCTGCATGACAGCCTAACAGGGAACTTGTAAGGTAGGAATATGGAATTCAGGGGAAGAGGAAGGAATAGGAATATCAAAAGCCTGAGTTTATTCATGCAAGTCTGAGCACATCTTGAACAAAGAGCAGAGACAAGCCCAGGGTCATTGTTTGTTAGACAGTAGCTGCTTTGCAAGAAAGCCATCAGGACAGGAGGGAGGCACCTGCAGTCCTGCCAGGAACTGCAGACTAGACCCTCAGTGTTCCAGAAAATGAGCCACTAGACAAGGAGGGTGGGAACTGCTAGCAGTGTACATAGAGCTCTGAGAAGCTCTGCTAATGTCCACATGACAGCATGGGAATGACAGCACAGGAGGTGAGCATGGGAAGATCAAGAGCCACACCCTGATCATACAACGTGTTGTGTCATGGGGACCCCAGAAGCAATTGTTGGGGTGACAGCTTTAAGTAGCTTCCAGGAAAGAAAAGATAGAGATATATGGATAGGGATGGAGTGGAAGAACAAGGCGAACAGCATCCTTGAACTCACGTGGAGGGTTGACAGACTTAGCAAACCTACATGCTGCTGAAGGGAGCATGAGGCTTAGCAAACAGAAATGTGGACTGCCCAGTGGAGCTGGAATTTCAGAGAGGTGAATATTTTGGCACAAGTATGATTTACAATCATTATCTATTTACATCAAACCTGCTTTGCTGACAAATTACATCTCTGAGCATTCAAAGACTGCTGTTCTCATGAAGACAAGGTTCTAAGTAAATAACAGTAAGTGACAACACTTAAGGAGAAATTCAGCTGGTCCAAGCTATTTATCTTCCCCTCATCTCTGTTTTTATAGACTTTCCCTCTCATGATTCACTCCCTTTCCTTTTCTCTCTCTCTCATCCTCACCTAGAATAGCCTTACAGAAAATGTAATTAGACTCCTTGGGATTATAGAACTATAGACTATTTCACACATATCTTTCAACATTTGATTCAGCTGGTTTGCTTGCCATAGTTTATTTCCATATCACCCCACACACTTTCTAAAAACAATTTTTAAATCTTAAAACTGATTATTAGTAGTTTCCCAGTATATTTTCCAATATAAGATCTAAGTGTTCAGGAAACCCCGGGACTAGGAGACCCAGATCTAAATCCTGATCAACCCTATTATCTGTTTATCTCAGACAGTGTACTAATTCATATGTACTATTTTCATTTTGTGTTCTAAAGGCTTTCCCTGTGGGAAGTACTCAGAGAATTGTGTTCATCTTATCACAGAACACTTAACTATTAGAAAATATCTTCACATTTTAGAGGAGATTTTGGTTCATGGAGCTGTACTTAAATCTTCTCTTTTATCTCTGCTTTCCTTCTCCCTTGCTATTATGACTTGGAGATGAGTAGATATTAATCCTATAAACTTCTTTAACCAGCTACAAGGTAGCCTTCTTTTCTTTAAATTTAGATAATGTGAGAAGAAAGAAGAAAGGAGAAGGGAGCCAAGTAAACTTTAGCTGCCTTGCTATGATCTTCAAAGAGGAGTTTTAAAATCCTATTTCACACACACGCAGACCCTACAGCCACCGAATTAAAGACTGATAGAAGATAAAGGAAATCTAAGTCTGTTTTCCAGTGCTATTATGTTTCCATGTTACAGTTCTACGTTCTAACAGATAGCACTAAAACTCTGCATTTTCATCTGTCCTTTTAACACAACAGTGTTTGCACACAAATATATTCTCAAGGTAAATTTGTTGGCATTTAAAAAAATAAGTAAAAAATTATGTATCTCCTCAGTGAAGATAAAAGCCATCTATGTGTTTTAAAACTACCTTACTACTGCTTCTGCCTTTGCTATTCGTTACTGGACTCATTACTGTAACGTCACTTTACTACGGATTTGGTGCCAGCAGAGTAACTCTAGGCTTTTCAGACTTTAAAATCACTGCATGTGGCCACTGAGAAGTCACACGTACTTCCATAGTCATAGTTTAACTTTCACTGGAGTCCATGGTTCATTATCATTCTGCTGACTAACTGAAGGAGATAATAAGTTTAATACCTAACTACTACCTGAAGTAAAATCAGATTATTCTCGTTTAAGCTCTGAATGTTTTAAAACCTACCAGTAGTAGGAATACAGGCAAATAAAATGAAACATATTCACCATCATCATCATATTCGTGGAGAACAGACAAGCAAATGCAACTACTTTCCACTAGAAATCCTTCTAGATCTGAGTGAACATCAAGTATATAATGATGCTATGCGCGCATAGCAAGTTCAGAACCCAAGCGCTGTCTTAGAGAGCAAGCAACAAGAAAGCAATAAGAATCAAGTCTTTAGAATAAAGAGAGAAAACCAATGCTAAAAATGGGAAAATAGCATTCTGCTAACTGTCTGAAGTTGGGGCAAGACTTCAAGCTGAAGAAAAAATTGGTAGAAACCATATTTTCTCTTGCACTACTGTCCTTAGTCCAAAAAAAATTTTTTTTACTAAAAATTTGTCTGTGGGACTGGGGAGATAGCTCAGTAGAATAAGCATTTGTCTGGAAAGCACAAGGTCCTGAGTTCAATCCCCGGTACCACAAAAAAATAGATAAATTAAATTAATTTGCCTGTGAAAAAAGATTTCTAATTAATATTTGCATAATGCTATAGCTTTACAAAGATTTTGTAGTTATAAATTATTAATCTTGTTAAATAAAGATTTTGTTTTTCTCCTTAGGTAAAAGAGCTCCAAGAGTTAAAAGAAAAGAAAGGAAAACAAAACCACCTAGGGCTGCAGCTCAGCAGCACAGCGCCTGCCTGGCAGGCACGAAGTCCTGACTTTGATTCCTGGTTCTAAAAAAAGGAAAAACAAAAACCAAAAAACCTGAAGGAGGCCTCAACTCCAAAGCAAAATCCAATGCAAACTTGTCCTCCGTGATTGTTCTGCAAGTCTAGATGACTTGAAAGTCACTCAAGTTCTCTTTCACCAAATGTGTGTTGGAGTTTCGCAAAGAGTGATAGTCTCGTGGAACTACTGATTAACAAGGATTTAACCTCGCATAATGAATAACATTCAAAAAAATTGTCTAAATGCTCGGTTTTTCATTACAAACAGACTCCAGGAAGCAAGAGCTAAATTTTATTCTCAGCACATTTTTCTGTTTTATTTTATTCCCCTAAAGAGTCACTCTCATATGTCTGATCAGAGCATTTAAGACACAAATAATTGACAGGGATTCCTGAGGCTATATACACTGTTCCAACATCACAGGAAGAAACCAGATTCAAAGGTTCTACTCTAGTGTCCTCCGGGAAATTTAGGAAAGGCAGAGGCTACTAACTAAGTTTATTTCCAGAATCAGCACAAGAAAGCCAAGGATACAGCTCAGGGGTATAAACGTCTACCTGACAGGCACAAGATCCTGAGTTTGATCCCCAGTAATATGGAGAAGAAAAAAAACAAAAACAAAAACAGGACTACAGGACAAAATCAGCACAAGAAATCCTTGCACTCTTTTTGTTGTTGCTGATTACAGACACAAGAGAGATTCAGTTCTGTTCTTGCAGAGCTGAATTTGTCATTTAGAAATGCTACTGTAAACAAATAATGGGCTCTCTCCTTCTCCTTTCATGGGTGCATTTGGGCAATCAGCTCTAACCCCTGACCTGCAGAAAATAGTTGGGAAGTTAAAGTTTTTAAACTTTTGATTGCTTGTTTTTTGTTTTTTTGGTTTTTTTTCCATTTGAGGAGGAAAAACATGGCCTGCTGAAACAACAATAACAACTGGTGTGGCCAATGTATCTCATCCCACATGTGCATATCTTTATCATGCAAGACACCAAAAATAAAGTGAAGATAAAGGACGATCGGGAATGAGTAATCCCCAGGACATTCCCAGATACCGGGAAGGTCAGAAGTACAACTTCTCGGAGCCCAGACATTGCCTCTGATATCTTTCCAAAGAAAAAATTCTCCTTGATAATTGCTCATAAACAGAAATCAAAAGATAATGCTTTCAAGGGAATGAAAGATTAGCCTGAGTCTAAGGATTTAAAAAGCAAGGAACAGAGGGTTAATTTAAATGAGAAATTCCTGAAAGAAAAACCCTTAAGACCGACCCAAGCTTCTCTCAGCTCATCCTGAACCACGCAGGAGCTCTGTAGTAATACAGTATTAAACTTAAGGGAGAGATGGTTAACTTTGATTTTGCATAACAATTGAACTCATAAGCATATCAATCAGAAGTTTAAATGTGTTGAGTTTATAACCTGGAATGAATGAAAAATTTAAAGAGCAGGTCAAAAGAACAAAAGGATCGCTTACATGAAAAGGCGAGAATTATGACTCCTTTTTGAAAAAAAATATTGTGATAACAGATGATGAAGGCAAAAAAAAATATTCCTGCACTCATTTGCCGGAAAGAACAGCAGGGATATTGTTAAGAGAAAAATAAAGAAAAAGATAGTAAAAACACCAGGAAGAGAACACACAATTGCTCTTAATTCTTAAATGATCTCAGAATTGCAGGAAGATAGCAAAAATATGGGGAAAGATAATGTCAAGATTGTTTTAGAAGTAAATTTAAGGGACTATATGCACGTAAAGTTGGTGCTGAGCTCCCCTAACTTTCTGGAACTGAGACTCTAAAAGTAATTGTGAGCCTGGTGTGGTGGGGCCTCCTGTAATCTGAGCTCTCCAGAAGCCTGAGGTGGAGAATCTCAAGTTAGTCCCTGCTTGGGCAATTTAGTGACTTCACAAATCCTATCTCAAAATAAAATACAATAAAGGGCTGGACTGTAGCTTAATATGAAGGCCCTGGGTTCAATTTTTGGCAGTGGGAACATGGAGGCATGTGATGTCCAACTCGGTCACTGGAAAAGAAGGTTTCCTGGCAGAAAGAGATATCTCAGCTAGTGGGTGAAGGACACAGCCATCTGACAAAATAAATTGAAAAGACAGAGCGGTGGGAGGATCGTGTTCAGTGTTCAGTGGGAGGACCTCAAGGCTAACTGAAGAAGTACAGAAGAGTTCATTCGTGCATTGAGCTTGCAACCTCAGGTCTGTTCGGCCAACATGCTTACACAGTGATAAATAAGTGAAGCTTCGCTCACTGTTAGTGTGAGCTCACCAATGAGTGCAACCAGGTGGGCTGGGGGGTGGGGCGGCTCCTCTCCACTTGTGTCCCACAGCCACCCCTTCCTGAGTCTTACTAATGCTTCACCCACTCATGTTCCACGCTAGCCTTGCTCTGCCACTCACTGCAGCCTTCTTCCAATCCTCAGGGAAGCAGGAGAAAAGATTTCTTCACAGGATAACTGAGAAATGAGGGAGAACTCACGAGCTAGAGTTCACCCAAGTAAAAACAGCTATGTGTATGTTCAATAAGAAGGATATATTTCTCTATGGAATAATTTGTTTTCATAGCAATATAGAATGTCCATTTTGGTT